TAGAGTTGGATATGAACTGGAAATTTAATATAAGCCTGAGCTATGGTCTGGCAGCTACATATGCAAACAATTAAATGACATGAACTGCACAGTGAGTTCCTCAGCAATGACAAATTAATGCTAGACAGCATTTCATAGAGTGGACTGACTCTGGGCAAAAGAGAAGGACAATCATTATGTGTCAGTTGTATGGACAACATGAAGGTCAATCATTTGTAAAATATGCATCAAAAGAATTGTTATGATGCTTCTTTAGAACTGCAGTAGCCAGCTAGCAGCATTGAAGGTGCACATGTAAATTGTGGCTATGACAAGAGAAGATGGTCTTTCACTATGTTCTGCTTGCATTGTGATATTGGGTCTTGTGGTGTTGCCTACATCATGTGGCCACAAAGCCCCAGTTCATGATAAAACCCAAATGTTATGAATAAACCTCAGAACAGAGCCAACTGGAACCAAGACAGACTATTGTACATACAATTTAGATTAATGAAATTACTACAGAAAAAGTAAGATTTGTTGTTCTTTTACTTCTGGGATTAAGACCTGCTTACAACTATGTCAATCAGAGACATCTAATCTCAGAAAAGACAATTATGTCAATCAGAGACATCTAATCTCAGAAAAGACAACTATGCCTTGGCGTCGCCATCATATTTTTTATGTCTTCTATGTTCACTGTCATTTCAAAAACACTGTAAAACTTCAGTTCTGAAGTTGGAGCTGTCTGCATGGTGTTAGTGCCACTGATGAGAGGCAACGCATGAGATTATTAGCAATGTGTAAATGCGCCACCAGAGGCGCCATGTCACAAGAAATGCGCCCCAAATTTCTCTGCAAACACAACTACATTCTCTCCGGCTAAATGGCTGCTATGATAACACTGGTGAAGAATGATGACGATCAAAAGTGGGCTGTAAGTAGATTGCATGAGGAAGACAGCACGCAGGCTGATTTTTACTGTTAAATCAATACTTTTTCATATTAATGGGATTACCAGAATTTGCACTTATCTCACCTCTTACTGTTTTCCTGAAAGACTCCTCAGTCATTTGTCCCTGATGGAGATGTTGGCTCTCTTCAGAGCCTGGCCTCTGCCTGTTTACACAGACGACACGTCTTAATAATACATGTTTTCACAGAGATAATCGATCAGTCTGGAGTAAACAAGAATGCCTGAGTAACTGCATGTTGTAAACGGAAGATGTTAGATTAGTGATGCAAAGAGTCATTGTATGAATAATTTAACTGAAATTGTAGAGACAAAATAGGCTACATTACACGTGTCTGCTCAGTCATAATTGTACTGGTGTTATTATCATTTTATGCCAAAAAACATAGTTAGTTAATTAGTGGAAGTATAGTTTACACACTGTGATTCATGGTGGAGAAACTGATTAAAGGATGCACCATATAGCCTATGACACATATCAAATATAGTATGGCTATGGAATTTCAGCTCATAAATGAACGTGGATCAGTTCATAAATGTCAAAATGTATTTAATTATAGAAACTAACAGTCTATTAAGACACATTCCGCCAGTTTCATTCTATGCAGGGCATAAATTCAGCTAAGATATATGACAGCTGCACTTTGTAATGAGAGCAAAATTAATAATGAAATTCAGTAGTTCTCCAAGTGAAACGTTACTCATAATACTTTTTAAAAAATTCTACGGTTGCGGGGAAACTTTCTGGAGGCTGAAGTCGCTGCACAAGCTCAGCGCTTCTCTTCTCACTCCTCCGTCAAAGCACATCAAAGCAACATTTCCGGAAGCGCCGTCTCTCCTTCTCCATCCCTCACTCTCCCTGTCTCAGGCCTTTCAACCCGGCTACCTTCTGTAGTATTTCCATGAATGCTTGTAGGGACCATTAGAGTTAATCATTACGCACGCCAACAAGCCAAATGACGACCAAATAAAACCACTACCTTACCTTTGAGACAAAAAAAAGTCTGATTCTGACTCTAAAAGGGGAAAAAAATAATCCTTATGGTCACTACATCCTCACATACAAACGGAGGCTGAGTTCACTCGGATGCAAAAGGTCTTGGCAGTGCAACCTGGTCTCCGGATAGCAGGTGCGCACGCATGGATAAGTCCTGGAGCCGAATAGAAATCCATATTTGTGAAAGGAATAGTGTCTCTTCCTATAGACCATGGGCCTCCTGTGTGAAACCAGCGGGCCTGTTGCAGGTGTGAGATGTGAGCCGTGGGAAGCGCTGCAGCCACTGCAGCCTCCATGCGTCAACTGTTAAATGCAACATTTTAAAGGTGATTTTATTTCTGTTATTCATTCCTAAAATCCGTAGGATGGGACTCTCATTAGAGGCGAATAAGCAAGCATCAACACTTTTTTTCGCTGTCCATAAGCACACGGATCACTTAATAGATCATTAACCACCGATATGCTGCTGACATGGACGCTTTTTTACATCTCGTCTCTCCATTACAGCTCGTTATTACCGAAAGGGGAGAGCCGTCGGCAGGCCTGCCTGGATCTATTAGGCGATGGACTCGGGCTATATTAGAGAGCATTACAACCTAATGGGGCTGCCGCCTGGTCGGCCTCGCTGGGAAGAGGTTTTAGAGCAGCTCGGCTCGGCACGACTTGCTTGGTGCGCGTTTGAAGCTGAGAACTAAGAAGCTCGCCGGCAGGTTCGGGGAAAAACGCAACGACTTTAATTTGAACGCTACCTACACGGTTTTGATTATGCACAAGAACAAACTTGGCTTAAATTATTTTTGTGTGTGTATATAATGGTGAGTGTTTAAATAGCCTTATGTTAAACAGTTTCAGCATAAATGACCGTTTTCACTCCATAAAATCTAAGAATCACATAAGGAATAAATACAGCCTAGACTGGCTTATTCAAACAACTTCGCATCAAAATAGGCAATTATTGTGATGTGCTTGGTTCAAAATAATGTAAATGTAACCACGATACAGCTGGGTTACATAAACGCTTAAAATATAATTATAGTTATTATAATCTGAAAATGTAAGTAATAGTCATAAATCCTGCTTTTCCTGTGGAAAGGTGCCTCAGAAAAGATAATATTCTGTGTAAAATATGTAATGACAGGCTTTAATTTATGATTTAAATTTTTCTTTTCTTTTGTTACTTTCATAGTTTCCATGTATAGCAATTCAAGTTAAAATTACAGCTATAACCCATGTTAGGATATTAGTGTTTGGTGAGTTTTGGGTTATAATTTATGACACGAGTTCCGTTCAGAGTCCATTTATTGATACCCTGCTGCACAACCCAAACTGATTAGGAATTTAAACTAAACAAATAAGCCTTTCATTATCAGATCTCATCGTTGGCAGCCTCCTCTTACATCCAGCCTGATCAATAGGCTCTGGTCGCTGCTGTACTCAGCTGTGAATATGAGGTGGAAACGAGATGATAATCCAATCCATCCTTCAAATTGTCTGAGTTACAAGCAGTTCCTTTTGCAGGGAAACGACACAGTTGCTCACACTACGTTCTTTCTTTCTTCTTTAAAGAACACATCAGGTTAATACATACACCCACACACCTCCTGGATGATCTGATCCTATTTTGGCCAAACTACCTGTTAGACAGGGTCTGAGATCATTAAACGCGTGACGCTGTGTATTTATGAAACTCAAATGACAGAGATTAATTGTTGTCGGTTGTAATTGCAGGATGTGACCTTTAAAACGAGCAATTAGCGCCGAGATGAAAATCCAAGCGCAATATAAACGGTCATCTATATAGGAAGCTTCTCAGTAGCTTCACTGGTTCGTGCGTTGCCCACGCAGGGGCAGCCTTGAGCCTGTTTTCTTGTGAATCCCCTGCTGTGATGCTGCCCGGTGTAAAACTAACTGCCCGAGCCAAGAATGGCCTGATGTGGGGAATCTGGGAGCAATAACAGACTCTCAACAAAGTCAGCTTTACTTTTACCAGAAGGAACCTCACTTAGCCCATAATGATGACAACACAGGGTTGCAAAAACACACACAGGAGTGCTGTGGCCCTGTAACAGCAAAATTATTTCAAAAAATCTATTAAGTTCAATACTGTAACCCGTAAGTTACACAACGAATTATATAGGATTTGAATATCATCTCCATTGTGGGCTATGTCAAAGTCTAAACCTCAAAATCTGACTGTAAGCCAAGTGTGTTTGTAACTGCACCATTAGCAGCGGGGCAGCGCAGTTATGTCCTTGTTTGCAAGAATGGTCAAGATTTGACTGATAAAATTTGATCAACTGTGTCACAGTATCATTTTGTTGTCGATCTTTATATGCTGGCAAATAAAGTCTTTGGCAGATTGATTATCCTGTGAACTTTGATGTAAATCTACTGAAGCAGTGCAACAAATATTAGGTGTAAAAATGTAATTGGTTATTAATAGATTGTCAAAGTAATTAAACATCAGTTTGTCTCCAAAAACAAATCAAGTTGTTTTAGACACTTTCATGACAGTTAACATTGTCGCAAAATGAAGGGAATGGTGCCCCATGGTTTCTTCTAGTTACAGTTTGGAAACACCCGGAACAACTGTTATCACCAGAACGCCAGAATTTCCCAGATTACTTCTATATGAACTAAGGTTTTACTAACGAACATTTTGTTGAAGATTCTACAGGAATGGTGCACTATGAAAGCCCGTTTGGAACATGTTCATTTGCCTTACAGTAAGTGAATCCTATAAGTCACTCACATTAAGTGTCATAAAAGAAGACAAGGAGCATTGCGTTGCGTTACGCCGGACCTGCGGATCTACTGCATGAAGTGAAGGCATTTCTCTCTCCCTCGCCTCCACCTTCCTCCCACCCTCTGCTTTTAGTGGAGTCGGTCAGCTGACTGTCTGGAGCTGTCAAGACTGCATTGTGTGCCCTCCTCTCCTCTGTTCTCCTCCCCCTTGTCCATTTCTATTTCAGCTCTCCCATTGGAGCGCTCGGTGCTACAGATCCATCCTTTCAGCTCGACGTCACAGTGCGCTATAAGGATAAAGCACTGGCTGGCTTCAAGCGCAGTCTGCTGGATACCAGAGAGTGGGAGATAGCGAGAGAGAGGCGAGCCTTTAAATCTCTGCGGTGCAGAGCTGGAAAAGCTGCTTCTCAGCGAAAATCAGACGCCCTACTTACTTTGCTTATTTGCTCCTAAAATTTTCCTGGAGAAAAAAGGGACTTACAACCAAGAAGGTGCAACGAGGACTGGTGCCCGTCTCAGCGAACAAACGTGATACTTCTTTTATCATTATAATTATTATTTATGTTTATTTTTTGTGAATACGCTTCGACTGAATGGACTGAGGCTTTACTTTTGCACTGAGACGCACTGCTTTCTACCTCCTGCCTGGTCTCTCTGCCAGATTATCCCAGCAGAAGTAGGCTATATGACGCAAACCCTGTGCAGAGCATTAGTCTGAAAGTTTTCTTCCAATACTTTTTCCGTTTTTTTTTCTTTTTTCCACCAATCACACGGTGTTTCATGCTACAACAAGTCAGTGCACAGCTGTGGAGGAGCCAAAAGAACTATTGCATGAAACAGGAAAGGAGAGAAGAGACCCTGATTAATAAGTCAGTTTTTGGGACGCTCGCAAGTACCTTTGCATATTTGCAAAAGAGTCGCGACAGCAACATGAGTGCAGACATGAGCATGGGCCCGGAGCTACCCAGCAGCCCTCTGGCTCTGGAATACGTCAATGATTTTGATCTGATGAAGTTTGACGTGAAGAAGGAAGGCCTGGCCGGGCTGGAACGCAACGGGGTGCGCCAGTGCAACCGTCTCCAACCTCAAGGCTCTGTGTCTTCCACCCCAATCAGTACACCCTGCAGCTCGGTGCCATCCTCACCCAGCTTCAGTCCCACAGAGCAGAAAAACCACCTAGAGGAGCTGTACTGGATGCCGAACAGCGGGTACCATCAGCAGATAGACCCGCAGACCCTAAGCCTGACCCCAGAGGACGCAGTTGAGGCCCTGATTGGAGTCACAACTCACGGCCACCCTCCGCCCCCGCATGTTCAACAGCAGCTGCAGCAACAGCAAGGCGCTTTCGAGGGCTACAGGGGCCCACATCACCACCACAGCCACCACGGCCACGGCCAGCAGCACCATCACCCATACGGTGGGGGCATCCCTCACCACGCCGAGGAACTGTCCGGACACCCGGGTGGACACAACCACCCGCACAGCCAGCATCACCATCACCACAGCCAGGACCCCGACAGTCCGTCCCCGGTCTCCCCAGAGTCCCACCAGCCCCTCCATCATCACCGCCACCATCACCACCACCATCCACACGGCCACCTGAACCAGTCGGCGGCGCACCACGGCTCCGGAGGCGGACTCAACGTGGAGGACCGTTTCTCCGATGAGCAGCTCGTGTCCATGTCAGTGAGGGAGCTCAACAGACACCTAAGGGGCTTCACCAAGGACGAGGTCATCCGTCTCAAGCAGAAGAGGAGGACCCTGAAGAACCGGGGCTACGCGCAGTCCTGCCGGTTCAAGCGGGTGCAGCAGAAACACGTGCTAGAAAACGAGAAGACGCAGCTGATGAACCAGGTGGAGCAGCTGAAGGCGGAGATCAGCCGGCTGGCGAGGGAGAGGGACGCCTACAAACTCAAGTGTGAGAAACTGACGGGGTCAGGGGCCAATAACGGGTTCCGCGAGGCTGGCTCAACCAGTGACAACCCTTCATCTCCAGAGTTCTTCATGTGAGTGTTCATAGCCTTTTCTTGTGAACCCCCCCCCTTACAACAAACTATAAATGACTGACTGGCTAATGAACGAAACAAAAGACTGACTGGCTAATGAACAAACGTTAATAATTCACACATCCCATACTGTTTATGATTATACTAATAACGGTAACAATTATATTCATATTAGAGGAATAATTAGTATTCTCATATATAATCATCTCTCATCCATCCTCCATTCACGTGTCAACTGAGATACAAAGAGCAAGGTAAAGTGTCTAATCAGTTGCAGCATCTTTGTAGATTAGTTGCTTGTAGTGAAGAGACTTTTCTTCTTCCAAGAAGAGGATCGGCCGATGAACTTTTTTTTTGTTCTCATTTGAGACTACAGCTTTCAAATAATCTGTGTGTAGTGTGGGATGGCGTCGAGGCAGTTGTCTTGTAATTTTGTTCTCCAACATGATGACATTGTTATGAAACAACAAGTAGGCCTGGTCGCGCAGCCTGCAACACATGAGACTCACATTCGACAAGTGGGCCCGTAATCGGAGAAACTCTCCAAAAGCAAAGACTTCACTTTATGCAAATCAAACTTCTGTACTAACCCGTTAGGGGGGGGGAGGGGGTGGGGTGACATTTTATGCTACATCTCATTGATTTATTGCCTGCTTGGTTATATTCGAATATATATTGAAACAAAAAATCTGCATTAAATATTAATCCTGCATGCTGGACATGTACGGTAATAATTTCTATTTTGTACTTTCATCTTCTCGTGTATATTAAAAGCATGTTGTTGATCTGCGCTTCTCCATAGTTGTGGGGGTTAGAGAAATGCAGCGGGGACATAACAGCAGGACTGCCGGTGCAGGATCATATGGTGTGGGTTTTTCTGGGGCTTGTAAATATTATGCAAACGCAAAACTGCACAACAAGATTGAGGAGGCTGGTTTGAACCTTTCTTTCTTTGTGTTGTGTTTTATTTCATTTATTTTTACGTTTTTTTTTAATCATTTGGGGAACTGATTAAGACAGGAGTGCATTGTCAGTTGCGTATAAATACAGCAAACTTTGTGTGTCAAGTGCACTTTTGGATAATGATTTGCAAGTTTTCATTTTGAATTTTGTGCAGACCTCCCTACAGGAAGACATACTATGATACTATATTGTAATATTATTTAAGACAGGCCGAAGTGTAAAGTTTTAGAGTAATATTTGGACACATGTTGAAGAGACAAACGTGTGGGTGTGATATTCACAGACTGCACAGAATAGGCTGTTGCGCATTGAGGCCAAGTTTTCCACCTACTGTTTAACACACACAGTGTGGGTTAGTGCTCTGTGTCATTTTAACTCAAAGTGGCTTTTGCGGCACTAACTGAGAAAAGTGCAGTCTGCCTTTCTACTCTTTAACCAACCACATCAAACCCAAACAAAAACTTTATCCTCTTATTCAGATTGGCGGCCATATGTAGCATGTTTTCACTAGGCCTAATACTAAATTATATATTTAACAATATTTAGAAAAAGTGCAAAAACATACTTGCCAGGGATTTCATGTAAAGTTAATATTTAGATAATGCAAGTTTGACTATTAATCTATGTTTTCCTGATTTTTTTCTGCCGGTCAGTAAAAAGGGGATTCAGGTTGTGCAAATTCTCAAAATGAAAGCAACATGTACGTTATGTAATATGTTTTTTTTCTGTCTGTTTTATTATTATTTGTTGATTCTGGTTCTGCTGGCCAGATGCATAGTTAAAGTTTTTATTTTATGATTTAAATTAACAAACTGTGGGATCATATCGAATAAGCATGGTGCTTGCATTTGAAACGATTATTGAAAAGTCACGCATTTAACAATCTTTGGTTTGTTATTGATTCAACTGTGTTGAAATCAAACTGAAACTGCAGCAGCGGGTTGTTGTTATGTTTTCACAAATTTCATGTAACTTTGCGATGATGGAGATCAATTTTCAATCCTGTTTATATAGATAATGGTTGAACACTTAAATTTGAACCGTTCCATTCAGGCTGGTTTCTGTTTTGTCTTATTTTTTGTTGTTTTTGGAAGAAATTGTTTCCTATTTTGCTTATTAAAGTCATTGAAATGGCAATAATTACCTCTCAGACTTTTTTTTCTTCTGCAATAGGAAAGATCTGTGATTTGATGACAAAATCAGGCGCAGAGTGAGTCATGACATTAGTAATAATTCCACACACTGCAGTCAAAACGCACTCAGTTTTAAAAGTTCCAACCACAGCACTTGTGCAGAGTATTGGAGAAATAGTTTTGTCTATTAAGAAGTCATGTGCACTAACGTTTAAATAATCTGCATTTCATTTGTCCTTGGCTTTTACTAAATGTCCAGTCTTAAGAAATATGTGTCAACTTTGGGTCAAAGTTTGCTGTGATTAGATCAGCGGGTCTGGCCGTGTGTGGCCCTGCAGGGAGATTCCTATACAAGCTGCTGGGCTCTGCAGGCGTGCTGACTTCTGCAGAAACCCCGTTGTGACAGAAGCGCGGCGTAAAAGGAGATCTTTGACCTTGCAACATAACGAGGAAGACATGGAAACCTCAAATTTACATGAAATGGTAAATAGGTTTTGGTTTTCTGTGTACATGGCTTTGGATACACTTAAGTGCTAGATCCGGCTGGTTGTTAATGAACTCAATTTGGGTCTTAAAAAAGTCTGACCCTGTCGTCTAATGCGCTGAGCCAGACCTCCGCTTCAAAATAATCCTCTGTGTGCGCCTGGGGGGGTGTGATATTTTCATTATTAACATTAATAGAATTTATGATTGCTATGTGTCCACACAGTCGCAGTATCCTCCTTAATCATTGCTGCATATGCGCACAAAATCTCAAGTCTGGGGATTTTATTCATTGATTTACAAATAACCGCGCAGCCTAAAGAATGAAAACACATTCGTGTGATTTCGACGCACAACAGCTGTAAGTCTGGATAGCATGACAACAGAAGCAGAGAAGAAGGAGAGAGTAAGTGTTGATCTGGTCCCGGTCTAGAGTTTCTGGTGACAGAACATTATCTGCCCCGTGTGTGCACATTCTCAAGGACAAAACCGCTAGGCAGAGAATCAACCAATGAGACCCAAGGAAGGCGAGTCTAGTTTACACACACACACTCTCTCTCTCTCATGCACACGCACACACACACACATACACACAACTACTGGACAGCCACTGCAGCCCAGGGGCATGAGTGCAGCTGGGTGAAACAGGAGAAAGCGGCCTATATGTTTACATTTATGATAATAACCTCCTAAAAACAAGTGTTTGGCTGTCTATATAGGGGGTCCTTTTCACCTTGTCCTTATATAGGCTCTAACCTGCTGTGTGAATAAGTGAGGAGGACACACAGAGGAAAACTGACTTTGTGTCGCATGTACAGTTATATTCTATTATGACTTCTGATTTCAACACAAGCAGTTGGACACAGAGAACCTAAAAGGAAAGAGCCCGAAAGCCATCGCCAGGGTCTCCTGCAGAACTCAAATAAATATCCAATTATTACACATCCAAAAAAAGCTGCCACCAATTTCACTAGAAAATCTGAAATTGATTAACATCTCCAGTATAATACATTTCTGAAATCCTTTAATAATATTGAACACGTGAACACTAATAATCTTTTGACAATCTGATGTACAAATCAGTTCTCACACACGGATCTTCTTAAGAATATCTGTCACATTTTGGTGTACTACCTGTGATTGTGTCATCGCTGACTTGTGAATTGTATCTATGTGTATTATACATACATCGCAGCGATGATAGCTCATTTTTATCATTTTTTTTCCAGATTTGGTTTTAAAAATGCATTTTTTGTTGAGAGCAAATAGCATGTACTGACTATATTTTGGAAGATTGTATGAGCAAAGAGAAAGTGGGGGAGAAAAAGGTAGAAGGGGAAAGTATAGAGGAACACATCAGCCTCCACTCAGCGGAAGAGCCAAGGACACAGTGACCAGGCATACTGTAATGATTTTAGTCTCCGATCACACATTCATGCCCCCCCACAGAGATCCTATCTGCATTCAGCCTGCTTTGCCAGCCTCCACCTACAGCTCCTTGAATCAGCAGTAGCAGCAGTGAAGGGCCCCGGGACAGCAGCCCCACACCTGCTCGGCTTCTGTTCGTCGCCCGTGCCTCACAGCATTTTTAAGCTCCGGTCAGCTATAGCAGACCAGCGGCATTTAGAAACTCTTCACATATTAGTACCAACCCTGCTGAAGGTATTTCCCCACCTCTTAAGTCTATGTGTGCATTTCTGCCCATTTTATACAGTAAGACCTGAAACATCTTTGCATCATGTATAATATGGAAAAACAGAGTGGGATGATCTTTTTGCTAGTTTGAACATGTTTGCTCCATCTGCAGGGCCATAACTGGCTGTTTTAATCACCACCGGCTTCTGTATAGTTTCAGCACACTGCCACACCAGCAGTTCACTGACTCTCATTGGAAGTGACTTCCCTGTTACTCTACATCACAATGATTTCTCAGGGAATTAACGCAGGCTTTTCCTGAGAAGCACACACGAGAGCCCTCACCAGTTATGGAGAATGTCTGTGTGGATGAGTGCGTGTGATCACCTCCCAATGCAAACACAATAAGAATAGAGGAGGAGAGAAATGTGTTGCTCTAATTAGTCTTTGTTTGCTTTTTACTTTATATTGTTAGCATTGAAAATGTTTTCTTGTGGTTTGCAAATCAATATCTCATAAGTGTGTGTGTGTGTGTGTGTGTGTGTGAGAGAGAGAGAGAGAAAGAGAGAGAATGCATTCCCTAGCCCCTTTCACAGTTTCCAGTGCACTGGACTTGAGTCAAAGACAATCAATCTTCATCATCATCTTCTCCTTGTCTTTCCCTCATCTCACTTTCTATCCTTCTCTTCATCTTCTCTCCTTAATTCCTCAGCAAAACTCATTTCTCTCTGGAGTTCAGATTCACACAGCATCACTACATCTGTTAACTGTCTTCAGCCTGTTACACCCCACACACACACGCACACACTCTTGTACTTGTATCTCTGTGAGGACACTCATTGACATAATGCATTCCCTAGCCCCTTACCCTAAAACATCAAAATTAAATGCCTAACCATAACCCTTACCCTAAGCCTTAACTAAGCCTAATTCTAACCTGAACCCTAAAACCAAGTCTTAAGCCTCCAAAATGAGGACCAGCCAAAATGTCCCCACTTTCCAGAAGTGTCCTCTCTCTGTAGCAAGTACAGGAACACACACACACACAATTATTACAAATAACATACAGTATAATCAACCCATAATTAGGAACAAAAAGATGAAGATAAATATATTTTCTTACAGTACATGGCCAGTATGGTAGGTGGCTTAAAGTATTACATACATATAAACAAAACACATATATTAGAGACACACTCACCTAAATTTAAATGTAAAGTTCATGCTTACTACATGTTTTTCATTCTAGGTTTTGATATAGGAATTGGAAGAAATTGTTATTTTACACAACAATATGGAGTTCCAATGAAAATCTTTGTAACTCCATATTGGCATTATGCTGTAATTAAATCAAATAAGCTATAGTATCTCAGACGGCTCCATTTCCACCCGGTTGCAGACGAGAAGCAGTTGCTGCTTTCCGCTGACCTCGTCCACAGCCGCCTCTCTTTGTGATGAATTTGTAATTTCATGGTCACAACCAGTCAATGGTCTGTATGATGGATACCTATGGCCATGGCCGCAGTGAGTCGATGAAGTGACCCATGTGTACATCTCTGCTTCCGGTATGTGAAACCCAATTCTGGGGAGAGATTGATCCATGTCTGGCCGCCTTGGGGATAGAGCCAGAGGGAGAAGATAAGAGCAGAAGAGCAGACAATGAGCGGTCAGTGATACGTTTGAACCATCATCCTCTACTGCAAACAGGACGCTATAGTGACTTTTACAGGTATACAGATCATATTTCATCAGGACATGTGATGCCATTGAACAGTGCTGACTTTCACTGAAAATCACTGGCAAAAGAATCTTTCACTCAAGTAAAAGAAGAAATGCTGCAATCTAAACGTATTCAACTACAGTGGAAGTCTTACTTTCACAATGGCACCTAACTAAAAGTAGCAAAATATACCTAAAGTAAAGTAAAAGTACTCACAATGCAGAGAAACGTGACACTTTGAGTGATACATCATGTTTTAGTCGGTCAAGCTGGACCTAAATTTAACTACTTTATATACTGTTAGCTTGTAAAAACTGGATTTGTAAAGTGACAAGTAAATATAACAATCAAATGTGTGTAAGTAAAAAGTATAAAGGTGGCATGAAAGAGACATTAGAACAAATGCACTGTACCATACATTTTAGACCAATTTCTGGAAAAAAAAAACGAACAGTTTGAAAACAAAGATATCATCTTGGGCTTTGGGAAATCTCATCACTATTCTCTGACCAGCAGAGTTTCTACCATTTAGTAATCTAAATGATTAATAAAAATAAAATAAACACATTTCAGCCAATATCTTGGTCATAATGTCTGTACGGATTATTTCCCATTAACTAATGCAGATGTAGAATATAACTTACTAGTCAGTTAACTACTGTGTCCGCAGACTGCCTTGCATGAGCACCTTCTGTGTGCATGTGTACTATATCATTTCCACCTTGTGCGCTGTGCTCTGGCCTGTTGTCGCCCTAAGATGCGAGGTAAATAATTGAATGGATCCATTAATAAATAAGGTGCAGGTTGGAGGAGAAGAAGAGGAGGGAGGGAGGGAGAGGAAAAATGGGATGGGAGAGACAGGTCACTCATCTTTACAATCACTGTGCAGGGAGTGGCATGACTACAAACACATAGCCCCCCCCGTGCTTTTTCTCTCCCTAGGAGGTGTCTGGACATAATAAGCATTAGGTGTAGTCAACTCTGGCTCTGAGCTTGGAGCAGGATGTGGCATTTCAACACATTTCCTCTCTGACCCAGTGTGACAAGGCTACTTCCTGTAAAACAGGTGGAGGGAGCAGCCGCCATTGTGCCTGGCCAAATCTACCTTCAGCACAGGCAAACTGTTTTCCAGTGTAGGTAAATTCAGTGTTATTCAGTCTGTGTTATAATGTTATTCATATATAGTTTACTATAGCTGGTACTTAATAGAAAAATCTGCCAATGGCAACTAAAAGTGGAAAGGCCAACATGAGGTTGTGGTTTTGAACCAAAAGAGAATTCACCATCAGCTATTGAAAAGCTTCAGTTGTTTGTGAAGATGTTTGTTTTCTGCTAGGTCGTGTTTTGTCTGAAGATAAAATTCTAACATTATCTTCAGCATCAAGAACACTGACTCTGAAACTCTCTAGTATGAACAAAACTCTGCCTGTGTTAATCTACTGTTTGGGAAACAAATCAGAAGAGGTGATTCTGTGACAAAACAAAATAAAGAGACTGAATCCAAGTTACACAGAAGAAAAAGCAAATTACATCACTGCTCTTACATGCCTAGTAAGTATTTTCCCCATATCTATTAATTCTATATTAATGCTCAATCACTGCTTTCTGCTTTCTGTCTCAAACACTCACCACGTTCTGACATTGCTCTCTTGCTTTCTCCAAGTTTTCTATTTCTCTGGGCCTTCTTTTTTATTTTACAGTCTGATCTCTATTTAGATTTCCTCATTTGGATTTGCCACAGCGCTCCCCGCTGCCAACATCTGTGAGTGGTTTGGAGGCAAGAGGCACTATGGAAAAACATCAAAAAATAAAAAGAGCAGAACGGTGCTCTATTACCAGGGTTAGACAGAACAGAGGCTGTAAAATGGATAAAAACTGCACTGGGATCAGAGGCACAAGTGTACGATTGGCAGGACAAGGAGATACTGTAAGTGTCTGAATAAGGCAGAGTGTATAATGCATAGTGTACGCCTTATGGCTGTGTAACATTCTGCACAGTGAAAAACCTAACAACAATACCTGCACATACAATGGGGGGTGGTGTATGGAGTTCTTGGGACCCCATATTTTTGGTTTATTGGGGATTGAACTCAATCACGTGTCAGGTTTTAGGCAGACTGGGCTTGGGCTGCAGCACTTTTAAAGAGATTATGTAAGTAGATTCATTGAAGGGAGCTAATAAGGGGTTTGCCCCCCCACACACACACACAAATACACAGCTGCCAGCCTAATTCAGTGCTCACTGTCCTGTTGATAATATTCACTACAGTAGTATTACTGTGTTATTAGAGGCTTTACAGTGTTGTGGCGGTGAAAGCCACAGCTACACTTTTGACACTGCAGTACAGGTTCAGGTGATCATGCACTACATTCACTATGGCATTCTTCATGAGCACGTGGCTGTTCTTTAGCCACATGTGTAAAGAGAAGAGAGAGAGAAAGAAGGAGAGTGTGTGTGTACAGTAGGGTCTCATTAGGTAATGAGGATGATTATGCTGCATTAAATGACAGAGAGGGGAGGCAACAGCCAGAGGGTGGAAGGGGAAAGGAGAACGTGTCTGTGATTTGCGGAATAAGCACATACCATTTAATTGACACAGGCTCCCTCTGTCTCCTGATTGGTGTAGAGCTGTCCTCTGGATGTCTGCTCAGCCCTCGCTGTCCTTGACTCAGAGGGCAGAGAGACAGATGTGGTGTGAATGGGGTGGAGTAGGGGAATACAGTGAATGTGGAAAGATACTGGACTGAAAGTCGGCTGCAGTTAGAGGTAGAGAGTGGTAAAGTGAACCCATGGCAAGTGTTTTGTAGGTCAGCCCAAAGAAGATGGAAAGGTTTTGTTTGGGAGTCCCCGTTAACAACAACTCACATTAAGCATTAATTGTTATGTAATGCTATATGACTCTTCTAAACGAATAAAGGAGAAGCTACTAGAGGAGGAATTTAGAGAAGCAGTTAGCTGGGTGTGTGAAGACAGGCTGCATGGATCTGCCTTCTCTATTCCCCTTCTATAAGTAGGCAGGTATTTTTACTCAGGATAAAGTGCTGACCCAGTCTCAGGTAATTACACCCCTATTGGGCTTTGGCAGAGACATGTCAGGGCGGTGGTGAGCGCACCTCACACCCCAGCTACGGGTAAACCACACTTATCTCACTATTTACAAGCGAGTATAGAGCTTTGCTTCCCATGAGAGAGGGGAGGAGGGCATACCTTGGCAAAAATGGGAGACTTTTTTGCCTGACAGGGGCCCACTGATATAAAAAAACAAAACAAAAGTGACACACAATATGTGAAACTATATTCCATATTTATGCAGAGTGTAATCAAAGTATAGAAAAAAGGGAGACAAGTGATGCCAAACTGATGGATTCTGGCAATGCTGTGGTTGTGTGTGGTACATTTCCTGGCCTGAATTCAATCTAATAATCCCTAAGAGGGTTAGGCATGTTCTAATCACTTCTAACATAATAATGATGAGTGATCATGAATGATGCATATCTTTTTGAGAAGTACTTTTCAAAGAACATAGTGGCTCTTTTAACATGTCTGGATGCGTTCATACCTCAAAACATTTTGAGGAGCATGACACCGACTGTTTTAAGACAGAGATGTTAATAACATAATAATATAATACCACAGTATGATTTAATCAGGGTCTGCAGCCTGGCCCTAGGCCAACAACCTGAGGGTGTCTGAGCTGAGTACAGGCTCATTTTCAGGCTCAGACCTAAAATATATGTAATAGTACTGAGTAGGTAATGTTACCATTAAATATAGATTTCAATACAAAATCTACAACAATAGACTGAATACACTGTAGGCGGATCATTTTGTCTTCATTGCATCACATGCACACTAAGAGTTGCAAGTTGCAACTTGCTCGCTTGCTACATTTGACTATTTAGAACAGATAGTTATAGAGCAAATAAAAAAATCAAATAGCCAAGATGAAACTTTTCAAAGTTGGTTGTCAGGTAACTTTGCACCTGAGGACACCTGAGGACACCTTTGGCCGTTTGCCAAGGCAAACTGACTTTTTGGTTGACTTTAAAATACTGGCTTCAGGCTGAAAAAAAGGGGGTTTAGCCTTTGTGGCTTCAACATCTGACATGATCAATTTTACTATTGGGAGAGTTCAAATTATGATCACTTTTAATCATTCTGCTTCACTCTAATTACAAGCTGCTCCAAAACTTTAGTATTAAAAACACAATCCACCACAAAGTCAAGCAATTAGAGTGATGTTTCATTTGTTATAACCATGCACTGTATTTAACGCTGTTGTCAAGACATTATTAGTACCCACTGCACATATAGACTTCTACTAGATGCCTTTACAAGAAAAGTCTGCACTGAAGCCACTGAACATGTGTTTGTCAGACTGTATGTGTGAGGAGTGCAGGAAATCTTTAGATCCTGTTGTCTTTACAAGACTTTTTTCACTTTCTTCAGTAAGTCTATACTGTATATTTTCTTTCCCATTTAATGCATGTTCTATGGAAACTGTGTTGTGTTTTCTTAGGCAAAGTAGAGACTAAGGAAAATGGCTGTGGTCAGAGCATAGTCCTTGAAAGAGAAGAGGACGGCAAAGCAAAAAGCATACGTTTAGGGAGAAAAGTAAAGCACTTTCTGAATTGGAATAATTTGCCCCATGAAGCTAGTACCATGGAGAATGGGCTAAAATTACAGCTGAAATGATACAAATGCTGCTCAAAGAGGTTGGAAGAGGTTAGGGAAGACATACAAAGTAATAAAGAACATTACATGAAGGGGGATGCAAACTTTTCACTGATATGACTTTCTTTTTTATACACTCCCTGACCATTTTTGTTACTTCAGTTGATGAAAGAACAGCTGCACTAGCTGAATGTGCATTAAATATTATGTTAGTGGGGAAAAAAAAAAAATAGTTTTGCTCTACCATTTCAAAGTAAGGGGATACAAACTTTTGCACTCAACTGTACCTATGAGCGCATGCATATACACGCATGAGATATCCACACACACAAACATGCTTGGACTGTTCCAGCTGGGGTGCTTGTGTGTAATAATACGCTGGTGGGAATGTGCCACTGCATGTTAATTCTCTCTTCACGCTTGCGTTGAGGAACACAGAGCCTCTAACTGATGCAGAACAAACTGCTGACCACGTCTCAGGATGAAGGTCTGTCACTGATGCACACACAGAAACGCACAGTTGTATACAAACCATAATACAAAATGTGCTATTTGCCTCCAGTTTCACCTGGAGTGAATATGAATGACTCCAACTGAACAAATACAAGGTTTCCTAAATGACACACACATTTATTTTTATCTATGAGAGGCTTATAGGTGCAGAGTTTGAAAGTCATCTACTACCTGCACAAGAATGAGATGCATAGGTGGAACTCTGCAATGTCCTTGGATTTTTGGAGGTACATTTGGGAGCATGTGCATATGCCTGTGTTAGGAAATCTTTCTAGAGAGTGGGAAGCCTGAGCAGGTAAACTTCTACTCATCCTTATCAGACACAAATGGAGGCATACATACGCATAGTAAATGGTCTTATATTTGTATAGCGCTTTTCTGTGCATTGCAGCATACTCAAAGCGCTTTCACACTATTTACACACTGGTGACATCACCAGGAGCAACTGGGGATTTACTGTCTTGCTCAAGGAAGCAGGGAATTGAACCGCCAACCTTCCAGTTAGGAAACAACCCGCTACTCTACCTCCTGAGCCACATATACCAGCTTTAAACAAAGCTCCATGGAGGCATGATAATGCCTTTGTGCAGGCCAGATTTCCAGTGTCTCCCTGCTCCGGCACACAGATAGATCATATAGCCTGTTGTATGAAGGGCAAGTGCATGCATGCTGTGGAGGGAGGAAAAAAGAGAGAGGGAGAAAAATTGTGTAAAGAAGTTACAACCCAAACCACTTCTTTCCTTTCTCTTTTCACACTTTCCTCTTGACTCGTTTCTCCCATGTCTTTCCCTCTCCCTCCCTCTGTAGCCTGCCCCTTTTCCCTCCGTCTCTCCACAGAGGAATCCAGTCTCTCCATTGGGATTGGAGCTCTTTGAAGGTGATCCAGAACTATGCTGCTCGCTGCGTCTGCTGCTCTCCTCCCTGCCTCCCTCCCTCACTCTCCCCTCTACCCTCCACCCTCTGCTCCTACCTCAGGGGGCCTGGATCACGCTCAAGCGAGAGCATCCGTGCTCCAAATCCAGGCCCGGGCTTAGCACTACTGCTGCAGGCCTCACTGGCTGTCCCACTGCACCACAGAGAGACAGAGAGGTGGGAGGCCTGGGAAGAGTAGAGCAAGGGGAGTGACAGAAGAAACAAGGGAGCCGTGTTTGGTCACATTTACATTTGCCATTTCAGACACAGAGAGATTAGGAGGAAGATGTAGCAAACTCCACCAAGCAAAGGTTTTTCTAAATGCAGATCCCCTTTTTTTCTCTCTCTCACATGACTGTTTATTTTCTCTTTCATTTCATCCACACTCCTCCCTTTTTCCATTCCACTTCCCCTCTCTTTACTTCCCTTCTTCCCTCCATCCCACGGACAAGCTCTTCACAAACTCGTCAGACTGGTTTCTTTGGCACACCTCGAACACACAAACACACACTAGGGTGCCAACATACACTCAGACACATACCTCTTCACTTTAACAGAGGGTCCTTCACTCAATGCCTCAGAGTCAAGCAGGAAAAGGCAGAGAATGGCAAACAGACAGAGGAAAAAAAAGAGAAAGAAGAAGCAGATACACAGAGGGTGTGAACTGGACGGATGTGCATTCCTCTGGCTTGCCTAGCTAGGGAGCACAGGAGACGCGTTACTTATTATCAAAAAGCCATATGGGCTGGCAAGCTTTTGGGACATGGTGGGATGCACTTGTGTGTGTGTGTGTGTGTCAGGGTAAGGCAGAGAGTGTGATAATACTTACATTGTGTCTTTTATCACCTACAGTGCATATCTATGTATATGAGCATGTTCCAGGTCTCAATAACCCGAGGAGCCACGCTTGCTGAAATAATGCTTTCAATAAAACATAAGAGCTTCCAGTACCTCCAAGTCTACATACCCCACACTTATACACATGCACGCACAAGCAGATTTACACAGCTATTGGTGTCACATAAATGATTTAATTGTAACTTAATCACAGTCACATGCCGGCATGGCACAGTACTATGCATTGCAGTTTGATACTGCTCCACTTGGTTTTCAAAGATAGTTCTGGTGTATTGCAACCTGGATCTTATTTTCCTAGTGGTACCATTATCGATATTATGATAGCTGTACTTGTACTCACAGAAGTAATTGCTGAGTTACAGGAACAAGACTACAGCTATGTCCAACAGGGCGAAAACACACAAATTCTAAACTCAAGCCAACTCAACCTTTATTTAAACCAACTAAAATTTGACCAAAGTGCTTTACATACTGTACACCCAGTAAGCATAGTAATATAAAACATAAATGTAACAGTCAACGTTAAACACTGACATAGACACAAATAAAAATGATTAACAGCAAAAAGAAACTGGCAAAACTCTTCTAAGAACCAAAAGCCAAAGTAAACAGGTGAGTCTTCAGTTTGGATTTAAAGAGTGCGAGATCAGTGATAAAGCAAAGTTTAGGTGGAAGAACATGTCAAAGTCCTGTACTTTCCTTGTCACAGTTCAAGTACCTGTGACTCCTACGTTGTCTAATCCAGGTAGTGATTATGCCTTTACTCACACTGTAACTGTATACAATCCTGGCACAGGGATAATATTCCCAGTTCTTAGCTATTAACCTGGTAACTAAAACATAATTGTTCTCAATAGAAATGATAGCCACCAGTTATTCTCTAAATTTAACAGCCAATCAGTAGTTTCATAAGCACATCCTTTATTTTCTGCATTCCTCAGTCCATCCCTGAAATTCTTCTGACTCTGTTACTACCATCTTTATCACCTCTTTTTCTGGCTTCACCCTGTTCCGCTCCTTCAGCATCACAGGGGACAGCAGGGGTGTATATGGTGTATGTGCCAGAGTGGGACTGCTGCTGAAGGTGTGTGTGCATGTGCGTGTGTGTGTAAGTGAGGAGCAAGCTATCTATAGCCTGTGTATCCCTTGGGATTTGAGTCTTAAACTCCATATTCATGACACATCACTGTAGGGATTAGAAGGGCATCATCAAATAGGGGCTTACGTCAGCGGGCACACGCACTAACACACACACCTTCTCATACAGAAAGCAGCACAGGCACACACTCTCAGCAGCAGCCTTACCCTGAAAAACACAGCATATACACATTCAAAGAAGTTCTTTACTTCTTCCATTCATGCACATTATGGAAAGAGAAAAACACAATCTACTGTTACAATTGGTATGTTATAGGGGGGCAGTCAGGATGGCTGCTTTGTATAACTAACCCCAATAACTCTGTGTTAATTTGAGCTGTGATTATTTGGCTATTTGAAACTAACAGCCTCCAGTGTTCATCTAGTGCTGCCAACTCAAACACTTTGAGTATGACCAGGGAGCGCAAATTGTTGAGATGAGAACAAACCAGAATGTGTGAGTTGGAGGTGGAGGTGGGAGGTGTAGAGGGGGTTTATTAAGGCCAGACTTGGAAGCTGATCTCCAAGGGAGGTGGACAGAGAAGGGGTGTTAGCACAGGCAATATGGATCTGTGTTGTGTTTGTTTCTTTACAGCTGTGTGTGCAACCATGTGCATGTATGTGTGTGTTCTTATCTGCTCTGGTCCACAGCAGCAGGAGCATCAGAGGAAGCACAACCTTTCCTTCCTGTGCCTTTCAACACTGTCACAACACACAAGCCATAAAACTCTGTAGATCTGTCCAACATATAGAGAGAAAGAGAGTGAGAGAGCAAAAGGGGTCAGATCTTGAGTGCACAATGTGTGTGTGTGTGTGTGTGTGTGATTTGTTGTGTACAGCACATACCATTTAGTTGACACAGTTTCTTTCTTCTGTTTGGCGCAGAGTTGTTTTCTACTGGGAGGGAAACGGGGAGCAATTGAGGGCAAGAATCAACAAACAGCTGATGTGAGTGAGGAGAAAACATGGCCTCGCAGTAGAGGCCACTGGGGCAGTGGACATTCATTATGGGCTTGTGCCCTTCATGGGGGAGCTTAGGAAGGACATCTCTCTACCCTTCATTCTGCACCCAGTACCAGGCTCTGGCAGGCAGCCGTTCTCCCACTTCCACATTTCCTCCTGCGGTATCCGCCTGCTGCTTAACAGCACCTTGACTCACTCAGTCGTCCCTCTCTCTCTCAGTCACTCAGTTGTCATAGGCTGGAATACACATCAAGTCAGAAAAAAATGTGATTAATTAAGAAATTGTATTTTTCCTTTTATAATAATAATCACCTTTATTTGGCCAAGTATGTTACACACAAGGAATTTGTTTCCAGTAAAGAACTGAGGCAGCTATCTGTGGCGCCAACTCACACCGATGGCTCTAACCATCGGGGGCAACGAGGGCAAAGTGTCTTGCCCAAGGACACTTTGACACATGGACTGCAGGCACCGAAATTCAAACCTCCAACCCTCCGGTCGGGAGATGACCACTCTACCCACTGAGCCACAGTCGCCTCCCTTTTATAGAAAATATCTTCAGTTTGATTTGGTTACACGCTGTATTAAAACTAGCTTGCATTCTTAGAAAGTATAAATGAGCAGAAAACTCATTTACCTACATGGAGGACAGAGCTGTCTACTGTCAGAACTACTGATATTATTGACCATGCATTTGAACCATCCATCAATCTGTCAGATGTGCTTCTTATCCTGTAGGGTTGTGGAGGGTCTGAAGCCAGTCCCCGCTGACACTGGTACAACTTAGACAGATCGCTATCAAAGACAAACCATTCACATTCATACCCTGAAACCATTTTGAAGCATA